TTAACTGAGAGTCCTGGCAAGTCACAAGATGGCAAACCTTTAAAATGTGATACATCTGACAGTAATGCTATCTTAGAAGTTTAAAAGTGTATCAGCATTAAGTTGCAGGGGTTTGGGTTGTAGCCGTGTTAGTCTAAGGACATAGGCAGACAAGGTCAGAGTATATGTGGGCCCAATTTTCCACTGAGTTTCACTAGTGTACAACAAAAACTAACGGAGTTACCTTGGCAAGAAGCCAGCACAATGGAATGGAGAATCATGCCTGTGGTAACTAATGTGGCTATCCAAGGAAAGGGATATGGAAAAACAGTATCAATAAAAAGTGTGAAAACTCACTAGGGTCTCAAGTAACTTTAAATGTGGGAGCAATAAAATCTGCAGTGATTTAAGATAAAGATTTTGTTGGCACTTAGTTGGGACAGTCTCTTGGCCTTGCTTGTAGCTACAAATCTGAAGAATAATGTATTTATCTCCAAGTCACGCTGACAGAAAATGTATACCACTCTATCCCAATATGTGGCTGTGTCCACAGCAGACAAAATTCTTCTTGAGGCACAGAGGGGTCACATGACACGTGTCCAAGCTCAAATAAAGAAACAGATTCCACAGAAGTCCTGCCACCGAGTACTGCTGGCCCAACCACTACGCTACATTGTCTTTCCTTAAAATCTATTAGCCAGTTCCTTACTGACTCCAACACTGTGGCTTACGTTCTTGAAATGATTACATTGGAGCGGACTTACCTTTTGAGCTCGGGATGAGTCCTGGGCTCCAGATTCTGCAGTTCTGATTGGTAGGGCCTATCCACCAATCAGAAGCAAGCCGGGGTAAGCAAGGTCACGCCCTTTCCCCTGAAGGGAGGGGCCAAGGAGCAGTCCAGACCTGGTTCAAGACTGCACCCTGCCAGGTCCGGAGAACTTTGGGGGTAGAGCCCCTGAAGTGTATAAACGGAGCAGCGGGCAGACTGGGCTCAGCTCCCCATTTCCCTGTGCGGTCCTCAGCACGGCTTGCAGGGAGTGGGGAGGAGGAGCTGATGCTAGCGCTGCCGCCCTCGGCTCCCCCACCCTCTGTCCGGTCCTCGGCCCAGCTTCAGAATCATGGTGGCGCTCCCCCATGCTTGGAGCACTCTGATTGGCTGTTTCCATCAGCCAATCAGAGCACGAATAGACAGACAGACAGACTTAGGCTTTTATATTAGAATTTTGTAATATCAGGTATTCAGTTAGTTCTAGCATGTAAGTGTTTTAATTATATTTGTAATAATAAAACTGTATATAGTTAAGTGTACACTCATGGGGTTGTCTCTATAGGGAAATGGAGGGATCCTCATGTAGGGCGGTGACGTCCTTCCCTCAGCACCCTAGCCTGTCACCACTTCCTCTCTACTCAGCTGGGAGGACACACCCTTGGTGTATCCAGGTTACAACGTATGATAAATGTTAGAAAGGATTTACACAGGGAAGTAAGGAGGTGGACTAAATAGTACAGAATACTATACTACTTGTGTGCTGGGTGAAAGTTAAGAACTTTTTGCCATGAGATTGCTGGGAGTAGAGGAAAAGTTTTGTGATCTGGCAAAAAACAAACCGGCCAAGAAATGCTCCCTTTATTAAGTCATCAGTAAACAAAAAACAAAAACAAAAAAAGGTCTTAAAGCTAGAGTCTATAATGTGGACAAAAAAGGTCCATAACCCTGACTGAGTTCACAGTTGCATCTACCGATGAACCTTCTTCCTACTGAATTCACAACTAGTTTCATTGTAAAAAATGGACAACAATCAGGAAGTTCTTAACTGGTTTTCTATTAATCTATTTCAACCTAATTTTTACCTCACTAGAGGCAGGGTTTAATCAGTTACAGGGTCTTTCTCTAAAGAAGCCCTCAACTCAGCTTAACCACAGTTTATACAGTGGCCTACTTTACTAAATGCCAATGGCAGTGGTAACACTATGCTTTACCTGATACACAGACAGGGGTTTAGGAAATGCTAGCTGGTTATTATTGAAAGGATTCACTGACGACCCTCACCCCCACTAATGGAAAACTGCAGAATGAACTTAGGCTAAAAGCTAGGATTTGCTACTACCTATTAGTCATGAAAAATGCTTTCATGCTAACACGGAAGTTCATGAAAGACCCCAATCCTGCATTCCTTAAACATTCAGAATTCCCAGTAATTTCACTGAAAATTCACTGAAAATTTGTCCAATATGCATTAAACATACTGCTCTGCCTCAGTGACAAAGGATAGGATCCTGCTACAACTGTCAGCTAGAAGATTTAGAGTTTAAATTCAAACTGTTGAGGTTTCTGATTTAGTTTTAGATGTTCCAGGTTCAATCTGTGATAATGACCACAGATGGTTATTACACATGCACAAACATTTAAGATCTCTCTCTAGCTGCTCATGAACCCTTTGATATAAATGAACACTTCTATTTTGACTACCATAGCCATAAATACAATGAGAGCAGCCAAAAAGTATTGCAAAACATAATCAGAGAAAATAACATAGAAAATTGATCTAGATAAGCAGTAACCAGTCACAGAAAATATTAACAGTGATAAAAAATAGTTATCACCATCTTTATAATAACCTTGAATAATTTTATTTGTTATTCCCTCTTGGCAAGTAATTTTCCTTCTGGTGTGTGTAATAAGTGAATTTAAAAAAATGTAACCATCAAAGCAAAATCCAGGAAAGCAGACTTCATTCCTGGGCCAGCAATCTTTTCTAACAATTTATATAAGGCACGGTTGCCTTATATAATACATGACAACTGTGAACTGCTGACTCAAAGAAGCATATGATATTCTGTATGCATTTGCAGCTTCTGTTTAAGAGGAGAAACACATTCTGTGAGCAGATGCCAGCTCATCAGAAGTAGGAAAGGGAAAACATAACAGGAATTAAGGACACTTGCCCAGCAAGAAGAGATGGAAGATGTAACAACAAATTGCATAATGACCCTTCAAAAGCTTGAGCACCTTCTCTGACAAATTTAAAGAGCCAGCCCACGGCAAGACATACTGGGAAAAACTTTATCTAAGGGGCAGCCTTTGGCTAGAGTGGGTTAGCCAGGAGTTTCTAGTCAATAAGGAGGAAGCTGCTAGCAAAAGGACTGTGGCCACATAGTTTTGTTTTTGGTTTTCATTTTAGTTTATTTTTCTACCAGTATCACTATATCACATGCTCTAGGCTTAGTTATTCTCTTTTTCTATATATTTAAAGTTATTTTATTTTTCTCTTGGTGTTTATATCCTCTACAGTTAAAGCCTGGGACTTAATAGCTGTATTAAAGAAAGTCAGTGGAAGAGGAGACATTGCTTTCTGCACCATACCCTCGCATAAAAGATAAGTGAAGCCTCAGTTCTGCAAACACTTAACTTGAGCTTACTTTTAAGTCTCACTGAAATCAGTAGAACTATTTATGCTAATGCATGCACATGTTTGCAGGATCAGGGCCTAAAGCATACTACCTCAGTGTCATGTATACACACACGCACATCAGACACAGCACCTAAGCTAAAGCAGGGCACTTAAGTGTTAAAGCTATCTTTTAAATACAATGAACAGACAACTTCCCCTACCTTCTACTGTTGCCAGAACTGGAGGAACTTACAATGTAGATTGGCTTTCTTTCTGCTTCCATATGCCCTCAAAATCACGTGTAGGGGTCTAACATCACAAATCACTTTCTGTAGTAAAGGACTTCCACAGACTGATAAATAAATATATAGCACCATGCTGGTATCTGGAGCACTGAGAGTCTCTACATTTACATGTTGTTTTTTTTAATTAAACTTTAATATTATAATCTGAAGCAATGGAATGACTAGGCTTCTGTCTCCATTGGGAACTGAGTGCAAGCTGTTACAGAAAAAATAGCTTTTACTGCTGATATATGAATTTTAAGAGACAAGTGTGAGCAAACAAAAGCTGTTTCATCAAATACTGTGATAGGAAAAATGCAAGAAAAAATGCCAGAATGTATTATGTTAAATAGATTAATTTATTCACTGGTTTTAACCCTTTCACTGCCCGGTTGTAAATCACTAGACTAATTATATACCTTCCCATGTTCTGTATATTCTTTTTGTTCTATTTTAGGTAAATCAAACATTTTTAGTCCACTTCAATGTATATTTTGGTGCAAAATTCCCCTAGGACATAGCTATGCAACCATACAACTTGCATAGCCAAACAAAAATATGGTAATGCACACAATATTCTCTTTGGACTGTCTTTTGCAGCTATGCTATTCATGTGCTAAGAATACTTTAATACACAGACTATGCACTGGACAGTAAGGTAAACTATCTGTGAAACAATTCAAGGTAAAACACTGCCAAGAACCAACCAGAAGAATAGACAGGCAGGGACTTACAGCAAGAGATGGCAATTAAAATGGGTAAAGAGTAGAGAATAGGAACATATACAGACCTGATACCAGGATTAGATACAATGAATTTAAGTTGTTAATTAAGTGGCCTTTTAACAGCATCCCAGTACCTGACTCCTGTTTATGCACGAAGCCGTACCATGCATAGCAGGGATCGGCCACATTTTAGGAGCAACAGGCCAAGGCAGTGCAGCTCACTCCAAACGTAGGCCACACCTGTAACCAAACCACTGCCACTGCCAAACTGGCAATGGCACATTTCCAACCCAGCCTCTACTTCTCCCACTACTGACTTGCCACCAATGTCCCAGCTTTGCAAGCCAGATGGAATTGCTCAGCAGTTTGGATCTGGCTTGTGGGCCATAGGTTGCCATTCCTGTTCTATAGTACAATCAACCCTGTCACTCTGAAAGGACAGAGAATATGTGGGAATTAACAGGGGATGACAGGGAACCTAACTAAGCCAGCATTTATCGAAAGAGCTGACCTGAAAGACTGGATTCCACTGGAGCACGCACATGAAACTAGTAGTTAGTTTGGTTTGCTCTGGAGGTTGAGTTTAAGTTCTGATGTATAAATCAGAGTAGAAATCTTACCAGAAGATGTTTCTTTCCACCAGGTAACAGTTCCAGAAAGTTTCCAGGACGGAAAACACACCAAGGCGATCCTTTCTTGTTTTGCTTTGGAGCTTCCACTTCCAGCCTCTGCCCAAACAATACGATACAGAGTAAGTTCAACGCTGGGGCTGATGCGTTATAAGCCATGGCAACATGTCAAGGAGGCACACAGGGAGCGGGGCACTCACCCTCCCAGATTAAATGTTCATCAATTTTATTTATAGAAGGGGAGGAAGAGAGCAGGGAGGTGTCACAACCCAAGGGTGTGATTTTGTTTGTGCGCGCTTCGGCACTGCTAAATTATTTCCCCTACTAGGAGCTTTCTTTGCAGGGTGCATTTCTTAGTTGCAAAGAGAAATACACGGTGCAAAGGAGTTCCTGCCATTCGCATGCAAATTTGTGTCCCACTATTGGCCGGTTCTAAATTATTCCCACGTGGCGGCTAGTGATTGGCTTGCTAGCCGTATAAGAGGCTTGAGTGGTTTCCGCCCAAGTTGGAGAACCCCGCAAGGGAGGACTCCACGAACACCAGGAGGAAGAGACTTCACGTCTCGTGAAGATCTCTAAACGCTGCGGAGTACTTTCTTCGGTTGGCGCGACGGGCTCGCGGTTTAGAGCCTCCAACCGGATGGGCTAGAAGAATGTTCACGGGAAGGAACTCTAGTCCGCCTCTCTTCTTTTCTATCTGTAACTGAACTTAATCTGTAACTGCAACTCAAGCAAGTTTTCCTGCCTGCACCGCGACCATCTTCGGTGTAAGTAAATAATCTTAAATCAACCATTACGCGTCCGTGACTAATTCTAGCGTGTCGTCTGTTTTCTCCGACCCAGCGTGCCCGGGCTGCTGGCCACAGCCCGCGCGGCGCGAAAAAGGGCCTGGATCACTCCCGGCCCGCACAGGAGGTAAAAGGGAAAAAAATCCAGGGCTGCAGGGCAGGGGGTGCCACACACATGTGCACACATGCACAAACATGTGGCCAGCAGTACAGCCAGGCAAGGTGGTGGGAGCAGCTCTGGCAGCTGCATGTAGGTAAGTCTACAGGAAGAGAGGGGGTTGGAGGGCCAGGGCTTGGGAACCATCCCTGCGCCTCAGGGCTTGGGGCTGAGCTCTAGCGAATCTGAACTGGCCCTGCAACATCAGGGACTCCCCAATGCCACAGGAGTCGTCTGGACACACCAAAGCATGGCACACAGCCCCGATGGTGTGGGGCTGGTCCAGGCCACCAGGGGCCAAGCTATGGAGAGTCCAGACCAGCTCTGCACCCTCAGGGCAGAGGCCAAGCTCCAGAAAGTCCCCACACACCTCCTGCACCCCACACACACACCCGT